ACAATATTAAAAGTTAGAAACAATCCCCAAAAGTCACATTCTCTAATACAAGTAATTCAACTTTGCTTGATGTCATAAATCCCCACCTCAAGGGACATAAGCATGGACACCTCATTTCCCACGGGAAGAAGAATCACCTAGCCAAAACAACTCTCTTTATCTCCACTTCTCCCCCCTAGGAATGTGGAGAGCCCGAAATCTTTCCCCCCATTACTGCCACAGAGAAAATAAGAAAAAGAATATATACTAAGCCTAACTAAAATGGCTACATGTATGCCAATTTCGGGCTTGGCAGTCTGAACTTCTGGCTGATTGTGCAAGGATCAACACCATAATAATAATAAATGCAGAAAGCAGCTTTTCTTGGAACAATTTAATCCTGCAGTGATACCTTTAAGACTATCAAACAATAACATCTCCTTATGAGCCATGTTAGAGTTAGAGTGCAGTACTTGCAGGCTACTTCTGCTGACTGCCAGCAGAAGTTCAATTTGGAAGTTCAAATCTTACCAGGCTCAAGGTTGACTCAGTCTTCAATCCTTCCAATGTGGGTAAAATGAAAATCCAAGTTGTTGAGGGCAATATTTTGACTGTAAGCTGCTTAGAGAGAGCTGTAAAGCACTGTAAAGCGGTATATAAATCTAAGTGCTATTGCTATTGCTATCTCAGGTTCTTAGGAAGAGCTGCATCGGTGGACAAAAATGCCCAACCCAATCTAAACATTTGGCCATATGACCAATTATAATGTATTAATGTATGGCTGCCAATGATTCTGGATAAGTCACCACAATGAAACATCAAACTAATTTTCATGAAAACAATTAAAAATATCTCCTACTAGGTGGTAGATGCTTCTACTATCCACAAAAAGTGGTTAGGGTTAGGGTTAATTTCACTGTTTAGCTTTTAGAACATGCTTTGTTCAAAACATCTTTGTAATAAAGCACTCCTTTGAATCTCTGCACATTTTTCTTCTCAGTCTCTAGCACTAACTGAGGCAGTCTGACTCTAGAGATCTATTCATTGAACCCTTGCCAATATTCTTGTCCCATATAAAATAAAATAAAAAGTGACAGAATCAGTAGAGCAAATACATCCACTTAGCTTGATGGACATTTGTTACTAATTGAAGTTCTTTCTGCCTAAATCTGTGGAGGTCCTTTTTCTTTGTAGGTCATAAGAGATTATCTCCAAAACATTTGTCTCAATTCATTCACGTAAAGAGAATGTTTAAATCCCAGGAAACAGTGCTTGAGTTTAAAACTGTCTTATTTCAATTGCATCTTATATTTAATTATAAGTAAAGGTAAGAATGCAATGTTTATTGTCTAAATTGCCCTATAACCACTAACCCTATTCCATGTATTAGGTTTCCAAGAATTATCAATTCTCTCTCTCACATTTCCACCATTCTCATAATACCAGGTCCATGAGGAAATGAGAACTCCCTAACGCTGACCAATAAAACTGTATCCCCCCAAAATATAATCTCCCCAGACCTCATCACTAGTTGCTGCTCCAACCTCCAAAACTCTCTGTGGTGTAAATATAATAAAATGTAAAAACATAATAGAAGCAAACAATCAAACAAAAAGATATGTGGTACTAGTATGATTACAGATTTATATTTTTGTTATGTTTTTACTTTTGTTATGTATTTGGTACAAGATAGTTTGGGGACTTGTGAGCAATTGGTATGAGAAACAACTTTGTGGTGAATGCTGGATTGTAAAATTATGTATCAAGCTGGTATCTTGCCATCATACCATTGTTACATCACTGACAATGAAATGACAGGCTCCAACCACTGACAATGAAATGACAGGCTCCAACCACTGACAATGAAATGACAGGCTCCATCCACGTGAACGGGCAGGAGCTACCGCGCGCCTCCACCTTCAAGTACCTGGGAACTACTCTTGGGGAAGAAGGCCTATTACAAACTGAGGTGGCAGCCAGGATCAATGCAGCGTGGGGCAAATGGAAGTCCGTCACGGGCGTCCTCTGTGACAAGAAGATGCCGATGCGCCTGAAGGCGAAAATCTATAACTCTGTGGTGCGCCCCGTGGCCATATACGGCGCAGAGTGCTGGCCGACGACCAAAGAAGTCGAAAGCAGACTCCAGATAATGGAGATGCGAATGCTCCGATGGTCGGTAGGCCTCACCCTACTCGATCGCGCCAGGAACGAAGAAGTGCGTAGACGGTTCAACGTCGTGCCCATCCCCACGGTCATGAGGCAGTCCCGGCTACGATGGTTCGGCCACGTGAGCCGCGCCAAGGAAGAATCCATCATCAAATCTGTAATGAAGGTGACTGTCGGAGGAGCGAGACCGCGTGGTAGACCTAAACAACGCTGGATGGACACGATCAAGGCCGATCTAGAGATCGCGAAGGCAGATCCGACACGCGTGGCAGACAGAGAGGTGTGGAAGCAGTACTCAAGGACATTAGCGGACCTCGCCCGAGCGCGAGACAAACGCTGAAGAAAAAGAAGAAGAAGAAGAAGAAGAATACCATTGTTACATCTAATATTGCCTTGTGATACATGATCAATTGTTCCCCAATATTGTAATTGTGCTAGGTTTGTGTCATGGTGCTTTGAGCATGAGTAAAGGGAAGAAAGTTCTAAAACATGCATCCAGAGATGCTGTCATGCCCCTGGTGGAAATTGACTCTGAGGAAGAGGAGGAATAGCCAACAGGGAGTGGAAGTATGGCTCCAGAGGTGGTGGAGGAGGCTGGGGAAGGGCAGAGGTCAGCTGAGCAGTCAGAGGAGGATCCAGGCCCACCCCCTCTCCATCCTAGGGCACGCAGGGAGGAGAGGATCATGGAAAAATGAGGTCTACTCAAGAGGAGATTACCATGATCCTCCTCGTGGCTTGCAGCTGGGAGCTAAACATAATCATTTGGTTTCTTTCCACTATATATGCTTTTCCAAGAATCTTGTAGATTTAAAAGGTTAATGCCACCAAGCAGCTAAATTTACTACTCCACAGACATTTTATGTGTTATGCTTATTTTAATTTCTGGAATATACCACAACTTCTTCATTAATTACTCTCTCATCACACTTCAGAGAAAATAATTTCTGGCTATATGACCTAAACTCCTCCAGTTTTGGGATTTCATTTTCCACTTTTTTTTGACTTGTTAGGTGAAGGCTGGAATTCAGAAACTTGTATTGTTTGAAGATTAGAAGTTCTCCAGATGTATTGGGTTTACTGTATCTAAAGCACTGAATCTCGCTTATACATCTGATTTGGTTGTGACTGAGGTTTCAATATTCTTTCCATGGCTTTCCTCTTCCTTAAAAACTTTCCCAAATATTACTTTGATTTTCATTCTAGATGTTCGGCTTTTGTCTCTTCCTACCAGAAAATAGATGAGAGGGTTAATGGTGCTATTTAAGGAAGAACAAATATAGGCATATTCATAGACATAAGGATTATCACACTGGGGGTAATACAGTGAGAGATACTGAATAGCATTCATTGGAAAAGTGAGTGAGCAACATGGTGAGCCAAAGGTTTCCTTGCTTATGATGAAGAGATAGTGATCAGGCTTTCAATGAAAGGGCTAATGTGGAGATAGTCATTACAGGAATGAGAATTAAGGCATTCAGGAGAAATTGGTAGAACCTTAGCAGATAATATCCATTTTTCAACAAGAGAATGACATGTAGAGAAGAATATAGAAAGTTGAACACCCTTATTATGTTATATACAATGGTGGACATTTTCCGGCAACGGTGGATTTGATACCAAAATGGGAAAAATACTGCTGTTCACCTGTCAATTCTGATGGTGGTCAAGATACATAACCCAGTACTGTATGTGAACAAGACCGCGAAAAAATGTCTTTAGTGGATCGCCATATTTTATATGGCTATAAGTCAATATAGATCAATAGCACTGAGACCTATGAGCACACCAAAGTCAGCAATGGAGAGATTCAGGAAGTAAGTCAAGAAGTTATTCCTCTTAATCCGGACCCCAAGGAGCGAGATGGTGCCTCCATTTCCCACGAGTCCCCAAAGGCAGATAAGTAGAGTTATGGTGATCATCAAAAACACTCCTATAGGAATCTTGATCTTCTGGAAGACTGGTTCTGTTATAGAAGCCCTCAGTTCCATTGTGTGATAAATTATATTCTATTCTAGCATTCAGAAAGGACAGCACTGAAATTCAGCATGATGGCTGGTTATCAATTTGGTGTTCTGATAATATAGAAACTCCTGCTTGGAGAAAAGGTACAGGATATAATACATTTTTTCCTGATATGGAGCTAAAGAATTATTTCAATCTGGCCTCACATGGATTAAAGAATAAGTAAAAGAAACATTAAATCAGAAATGGAAAAAAATCAATGTATTGATGACACTTTAATCTGCATTCATCCAAAGTCTCATTTTTTACAGGAGTCCCTTTTGTAACATTAGTGAGCAGAAGAGTTGAAATAAAGGCTGAATTGAGTTCATCTGAACCTGAAAATGAAGTTGAGGAGCAGCCATAGACTTCAAAGGCTATATTAGGTGTTAAGTTTGAGCAATGAGAGGCTGAACCAGAGCGTGAGTGCAAC